CAGAAAATATATTTAGCTGAAACATTAAGGCTAGAGATACATAATGGGAGTTCCTGGGTGACTTTAGTCTCTCAAATCCGTTTGCTTGACTAACAAATGTTAGTGACTTTTTTTTTCCTGTGCTAGGCTTCAAAAATGATGGGTGTGTTTGCCTCTGGGTCCATCTTCCCAGCCCTCTGGAACGCCACTCCACTTACTGAGTCGAGGAGGCAGCCAACGCTATCCTTTTGGCTGTACCAACTGCTCTCCCCGCACTCTGCCAATGCTGGGCATATTTCTAGTGGTGTTTTTCTGCAATCTCTTCCATTTCCTGCCTTTCAGAAAGTTATAGGCCATAATGTAGCCTTCACTTGCCTGGGATACACATTTGCAAAAACAAATCCAGTGTCACCATGGGGAAAGGAACTTAATGCCTTTGGTAGGTGCCCATCATCTTTCTTCCTGATCACTTTTTCTGTCTTAGGAAAGAGCTTGCCTTGCTCAATTTTTTTCCTGTCATCTCTTTTCCTCTTTATATTCCTCTCCTGCATTACGGTTTTATTATAATTAGCAAACCACTTTGATGTATACCAGACTTCTCATATTTTCAGTACTGTTTCCAACAACTCCATGTGCACATTCACAGGAGTTTTCAACAACACAAGTCCCTGGGCTGATAACTTTTCAGAAGGAGGTCTGCATCCGATCATAAAGAGGACACAAATTGGATTACTCCTATCACATTGTAATGTAAGAGATTGATTAGTCCATGCGGAAGAGATTATTACCTAGAAGGGCTCTGACCCGGGATTATTTTTTCAACATAATTGAATCAGGAAATCCTTGTTGACCTCTTAGCAGTGTTGAAACACAAACCCTCTTGAAATGTGTGCTCCCTTTGGCTCCTCCAACTCCTGGTTAACCTCTGAACTTCTGAAGTTTACTCTGACAGCTCTTCTTCCTAGTTTATGTGCCCCCGAAGTGAAAATGTAGACATTGCCCGGGCCTCTCTGAACTCAGTGCCTAAAACATCTTATCCTCTCTTGTTAACAGCTTAATACCTCTGTGCTGATAATTCCCGAATCTGCTCCACCTCCCCTAACCCCAGCCTCTAGGCTGGTGCTGTCTGCTAAGGAAACCACTATCCACTAGTGAGTACTTAAAACGTGGCCAGTCCAAACTGAGATACACTGTAAAATAAACTGGATTTGAAAGCTTTAGTATGAAAAAAAAAAAGAAAAAGATAATGTAAAATCTTTTTAGTAATTTTTATACTGATCGTATGTTGAAATAATATTTTACATACACAGTTTGAACTGCACGGGTCCACTGATACTCAGACTTTCTTCTTCCTCTGTCACGTCTGACACACCAAACCCAACTCCTCCTTTTCCTTCTCCCCTTCCTCCTCTTCAGGCTACTCAGTGTGAAGGAGATGGGAATGAAGACATTTACGATGATCCATTTCCACTTAATGACCAGAAAATATATTTTCTCTTCCTTGCAATTGCCTTAATAACATTTTCTTTCCTCTAGCTTACTTTATTGTAAGAATACAGTATACAAGGCCAGGTGCAGTGGCTCACACCTGTAATCCTAGCACTCTGGGAGGCCGAGGTAGGTGGATTGCCTGAGATCACAGGTTCAAGACCAGCCTGAGCCACAGCGAGACACTGGGCATTGTGGTGGGTGCCTATAGTCCCAGCTACTGGGGAGGCTGAGGCATGAGGATCACTTAAACCCAAGAGTCTGAGGTTGCTGTGAGCTGTGACACTACAGTCTAAGGGAGTTAAAAGTCATCTGTGAATTTCAACTGTGTGGGGCATCAGCACCCCAACCCCCATGTTGTGTAAAGGTCGATTATATTGCATTAAATAAAAAATATTGCTAAAATCAATTTCACTTTTTTGGTTATCTTTTCTGAAATTGTGACGACTAGCAAATTTAATATTACATGTGTGGCATAGGTGACATTTATAGTGGGTAGCATTGCTCTCCAGCTAAAATGCAAACTGAGTATTCAAATGGAACACATTAGAAACTGAACTCATTGTATTCCAAGACTCTTAACTCTACCCCTTTACTGATAGGATAGAGTAAATATCAACCGGCATGAGATAAATGCATTGCATATTATATTGGCCACTTCTGTCGAGGACTTCACAGGACAAAGGAGCTAACCCTAGAGTTACTTATGAACAGAAGACAGGATGGCTCTGGCAATTGTCAAAGAGCCTGTCAGCATTTGCTCATCAGCAACTTCAGCAGGAATGTTCGCAGGACTCATCTTAACACGATGGGCATTTGACTTGAAAAGGGCAGCTAATTAGGAACAAAACCAACCAAGGATTTGCCAAAAATGTGAATAAAGCTTATTGACTCCAAAGTCAGACACATTAGCAGTTATACATTTAACTGTGACACATTCACTGCAGGTAGTGAGCCATTCCAATGTGCCAAATATTTGTGCATGTGTGTGTGTGTTTGTGTGATCTTAGCTAACAGAATCTTCTTTATCTAGCCTGAAATCTGAAGTCATTTTCTTCAACTAGACTCTTTTCTTTATTTCTCATATCCAAACAACTATCAAATCCCATTTATTATTCTACCAACACCCGGTATACTATATCCAGATATTTTTTTCTTCCTTAAAGAAAACCAGAGAAAGGAAACACAAGTCCTTATGCTTCTTCCACATTCCACAACTTAGAGCAGGGTAGAAAAGAGAAAGGGAGAGCCAAGCTCCAAACCTCTATGCTGGACATGGGCTCTGGTGAGCCCCCTTGATAAGGCCCACCTCAGCATCCTTCACTCTTCCTTACAATTACCGTCCGGCAGGAATACCAGTTAGTAGTCAGGGATGCACATGGATGAAGCAGGAAGGCCCCCCAAGATACCTACAGAAGACCTGGGAGAGGCTCTAGAACCCAGCAAACACAACTTTTCTTCTTTTCTATCCCTTCACCCTAATTTTTCTTTTTGCCTTCTTTTTCGTTTTTTATTGTTGGGGATTCATTGAGGATGCAAAGAACCAGGATACATTGATTGCTTTTGTTAGATAAGGACCCTCCTGTAGTGCCCTGCCCCCAAAAGGTATACCACACCCCTTGACCTCCCCACCCCCTCCCTCCTTCCCTTTCTTAACACTCCCCATCCCCCACCCCCCACTATGTACTTGTTTCTCCATTCTTGTGATGTTTTATTAAGAATAATGTGTTCCACATCCATCCAGGTTAATACAAAGGATGTGAAGTCTCCATCTTTTTTAGTGGCTGAATAGTATTCTATGGTATACATACACCTCAGCTTGTTAATCCATTCCTGGGTTGGTGGGCATTTAGGCTGTTTCCACATTTTGGTAATTTTTTTAATATGTATAAGCTTTGCACATAAATGAACACAGTTTCATCATTTTATGTGATAGCATAAAATTTATAAATGATTTTGGTTATCAATTGAGTTGCATTAGAAAAAATCATTGAAAGTCTCACAGACACCAGGCATTTAGGTCAACAGAAGCATAACTTATAGCCTTATTAAGTTGTAAAACTTTTTGAGCAGTCTAGATATATTCTTCTTAAGCTAACTGGCAATTGTCTAAACAAATGGTATATGCAAGATGCTTTACCAAGCTATTTATATTTTATATCTTTATTTTTATAAAGTCTGTACTTAAGGCATCTTAGGGTGTGCAAATCCTTATTCAATAATAGAATGCACAGTTTTAAATTAGAAATCATCTTCTTTTTGAAATGTGAACATAATGATATTGAAGCAGAAGTCTTTTTATCATTCCTGAACAACTTAAAGTTAACATTCCAATCCATTTTTTTTAATGATTTACTTTTTAAAAATTGTTACTTAGCTTTAAAGGTGCTTTTTATGCCAGATTTCTGCTTGAAGAAACTAATTTGCTCTAACTTATATGGCATAAAAACAAGATTTCTAATGGAAAGGTTGACACATTTAAATGTAAATGGAGTTTAATTTCAGAAAAAATTAACATCAGATTCTTCAACTATTATAAGTTTGAAGGATACATTAAAATAATCACCTCAAAAAGCTATCAATTGGTATTTTAAGATTATTATTCTTCCTAAGATGTTTCATGCTTGGCATATCTAGATTTGACTAAATTAACTGGAGATCTTTAACTCTTGTCCAGGCCTGTTTTGGGCACACATTTTAAGATATAAAGGCAATTGGTTGGCACAGCCTCCAAATTAAGGCAACAAACAGAAAAATTATATTGTACAGGAAAACAAGCTATAGAAAAAAAACCTAATATTTTAAGTCAATTTTTCCTAAAACACCTAAGATGTTCATGCGTGCAAGTATTTTTTTTATTTGTTGCCATCAGAATATTCTAGAAGGTTTCCAATGGGTAGATGCACAAATGTTTATTTAAAGTAAGTCTCCTAGCTGAATATTGGTTAAAGGAAAAGAAAATCTGATACACAGATGTGAAGAAGAAGGAAAAAAAGGCTAGCTAGAGTACAGTGGTATCATCAAACTCTTGGGTTCAAGGGATCCTCCTGTCTCAGCTTCCCAAGTAGCTGGAACTACAGACGCCCACCAGGATGCCCAGCTAATTTTTTTTTTTTTTTTTTTTTTTTTTTTACTTTTAGTAGAAACAGGTCTTGCTCTTGCTCAGGCTGGTCTCCAACTCCTGAGCTCAAGTGATCCTTCCCGCCTAGGCCTCCCAGCATGCTAGGATTATAAGCATGAGTCACCACCCCCAGCCAGAAGTGCCATACGTTTTCTTTCACCAAATTCAAGTTACAGAATGGGTACTTCTTTTACTGAGTACATTTATAGTCTTTGATTTAGAAAAATTCTATCTCTGTACAACTTTTCTATAGCATTAACCATGATACCCAGTGACTCCAATGCAGCCATACCCCAACGAGGAGGCAGTTTTATGTTTCTAAATACCTCCTTTAGTGAAATCTCAGCATCACTTAGGTTTCTAGGCTGCATTCACCACACTTGGACTAAACCAAACCTTTGTCCACCCATACCTTGACTGCGCCATTCTCATGCATGGTGATGCAGTTGTCGGCATCTTCCGAGAGCTGGTACAAGGCCTGAGCTGTCGCCCGGTGCACGTTGGTGTCATTCGACTTCAGGTAACGCACTAACGGAGCGACTGCTTTGTGCTCCCCAAAGGCCACTCTGTTCCTGCCCCACATACAGCACCGGGATACCGCTTCTGCCAGATGACGCCTCAATTTATCATTATTCTGCACAAAAGAAAATGAATTGTGGTCTCTGTGTTGCCATGATCCTGAGAAATCATGTTCATGTACTTAGCGATCATTCTCCACTAAGGAGCCAGGAGGTCTAGAGAGAGGGGCCAGCTGGCTGCTTAAGATGTATCTTGAAGGACCTAGTCTTTTGGTGGGTCATCATTGGACCAAGGTTCAATCCTGAGTTTCCCTTTTTATGAACTGAATGTGGCCACTGGGGACTAGGGGTCTGACATCTGCCATTTGCTTTAGGCTAGACTTCCTTAGCATGAGTCTACTGACAACACAGCATCACCCATCAGGAAGTCGTTTGTAATATGTGTACCAATATTTAAAGACTATTGAATGGCCTCAGGAGAATACTTCACTTAATTGAGGTAAATGAATTAACTATTTCTTCGCCCTAGGGATATTTCCACGTAGTAATACAGGCAGTCCCCAGGTTCTTAACTTGAATTTGTATGTAAGTTGAAACAGCTACATTTACCTATTGCCTGGAATAGTCTCAGTTCATAAGTTCAAATTGTACGTCAGTTGATTGTTAGAACTCAGGGACTTAGTGTAATAGCCTCCATTCACAAGTGCAAGTTTCACGTGAGTCGGATACTTGTAACTTGGGGATTGACTAGAAACCTTAGTTACCAAAGGGAAAAAGGGAATGCAGCAAATATGACACAATTTGGGTCTTCCAGTTCCCTTTCTGTGCTTTTTTTGTTGTTGTTGTTGCAGTTTTTGGTCGGGGCTGGGTTTGAACCTGCTACCTCCGGTATATGGGGCTGGCGCCCTACTCCTTGAGCCACAGGCACCACCCCCGTATCTGTGCTTTCTTTCAATATGAACTATCTCTTTTTTTGTAGGTAATTGCCTCCTATAGCTATGATATAACTTAATAGGACAGTTTTCTGGTTTTTAACCGTATTCTGCTTGAGGCAACAACCTGCTGTCCTTCACCCAATCTGGCACATCCTCCTAGGAACTTGAAATCTAGACCCAGCATCTGAAGTGTGAATTCTGCTCTAGATGTTTCTGCCAAGTGGTAGTCCAAGTTATGCTCAAATACTTCTGGTGCTGGTGAAGTCATTGTCTCTTAAGACTGCTTATTCTATCTGGCATGGCTCTAAATAAACAATACAAGATTGCCAAAGTCTTCTAGCTTAAGAATGCCGTGGATCCAAAGGACGTGCGTTTAACATCTAATATTGGCAGGAACCCCTATCTTAAGAAGAATAAGATGGATGGTGGAGGTGAGGGTGATAGTTAACACTTACATAATAACATGTATATTTGCCATCACTTTCTTTGCCAGTGGCAAATAAAAAAAAACAGCCTTTATTTTATAAGGATCTTGCACATTCACATTTTACGGTTTAAAATGCACTTTTGCATAAATTAGACTCAAAGAAATTAAATGAGTTGGCCAAAACCTCACACCTCATAAGCAATGGACGTTGAACTTGAATCCAGGTTCTGGGCTTTGGAGCTCCCTGTTTTTGCCACTACATCATTATATCTTATGACAATATGCATTTAAAATGTTTTTAAAAAGTGTTACTTACTGTATTTGCCAGTTTAGACAATAAGGGAACGACTCCGTGATCTGTAATAACAGCTAAATTTTCTTGATCTTTTGCTATATTGGTAATAGCAGCACACACACTTGCCAAAACTTCTTTGTTATCTGATTTCAGTAAATTGACAACAAGTTCCAAACCACCAACAAAGGAACGGACCATTTCTCCAGCGTCCTAGATAAAAATGAAAAAGATGGCATCAAAGGTAAAAATTTGCTTCTTCTAACAAAAAGGCAAAAATAAAAATAGGGCTATGAAGTATACCTCCGAAAGATAAATTCAGTTTAATTTATTTCTGTATTGTGTATCATTTCTATGTATGCAGGTGTAAAGTATGAGTTTGTGCACATGTGTATAACTATATAACACATACACACAAAACACAGTTTCAACAAACATTTATTAAAAAACTATTATGTGAGTTTCACTGTGCTAGCTACTGAGGACCTGGCCATGCAGATTTAGAAGGTCTCAGGATAAAGACTGAAGCAGCGAGTGTGGAGTGGGGAGTGAAGCAGGAGTGGGTTCTGTCTGCTGTGCCGCGTGTGGGCCAAGGAAAGGAATTTGTCAGAAGATCCTGAAAAGAGATGGTCAAACAGAAATCCCCACCTCCTCTAGGTTGTATGTGGCTGGGTGTGTAATGTTAACCAATGATGTGATCTAACTTCCTCAAATAGTAGAAATTAGCATCTTTTATCCAGGCACTAAGGTGGCCACCTGTAGTCCCAGCTACTTAGGAGGCTGAGGCCAGAGGATCACTTCAGTCCCAGAGTTGGAGGCTGCAGTGACTATGATGGTGCCACTGCTCCCCAGCTTGGGCAATAGAGTGAGACCCCATCTATTAAAAAAAAAAAAAAAAAGCTCTTTTTGAAAAGAAGCATTTTTTAAATCCCAACTATCGATCAGGCAATTCAGAATGACATCCCATAAATTATCTCAGTTAAACCTCACAGGAGCCATGAAAAGTAGGCATTGTTATTTCCATTTTGGATTTTTTTAAATGATGCTTGAAGATATTGAGCCTTACAAACTAGATTCCATCCCTCATGAAGGCAGAGACCATGTCTTACTCAACCTAGTGATCTTTATAAATCATCAGTCCGATGGGCTCATCTCGATACCCCCAAATTCTACCAAAGCTTCTCTGCTGTTACAATAAATTCTAAGCTCCACAATGTGGTTCACCAGCCCTTCATGGTGTGTCCCCTGCTTATCCTTTAGCCTCAAACTCCCTGCCTTACCTCCCCTTTCTCTCATCCGCCTCCCCACACCCTGAGCCAGTGGCTCTCCCAATGAGCTAATAATGAGAATCTTGGGACTCATTCCCTGAGAATGTGATTCATTAAGTCTAGGGTGAAGCCTATAAAAAAATTGTATCTTTGGGGTGGTGCCTGTGGCTCAGTGGATAGGGAGCCAGCCCCATATACTGAGGATGGTGGGTTCAAACCCAGCCCCGGCCAAACTACAACAACAACAATAAAAAAAAATAGCTGGGTGTTGTGGCAGGCACCTGTAGTCCCAGCTACCCAGGAGGCTGAGGCAAGAGAATCGCCACATACTTGGCCCAAATGAGGTCATGCATATATAAACTCAAAAGCAAAAGCAATGACTCTTTCTCAGAATTTCAGGGAACTATGAAAACGCAGCTTCTAAGCTCAGCTTCCCAAAGTGACATTACACGTGTCAGTACTCTAATACATTTGCCAATTGCAAAATTAAAGAACAAGTTTTTTATTCAAGAAGAACTGAAGGAATTCCAGAAAGAAGAGAGTGGCAAAGTTTTTAAATCTCCCCAAATCTCCATATAAAAACAGAGCAGCTAAGTATAGCAAAACAAAACAAAAACAAAAAAACCCACAAGCAATACTGGATGACAAGATATCCCCACTGACCCTTACACACAAGCACTCAGGGACAGACTCCCAATCACACTGAGAAGGTAGAAGGATTTGTGAAGGCCCTGGGAGCCAAGGGACCCCAAGTTGCCTTTAAGCTTAGGAACAGCAATGGAAGCTGGAAATGGACTCTCCAGGTTCTGATGAGATAGATGCGACTACAATCCCGCAAGTTCTGACAGTGCTGGGGCATCCTGCAGGTCCAAGTCCTGTGAATTCTTAAAACTACCAACTGAAGCCCTCTGCTTGGAAAAATCCCTGCAGTTAGGAGAAAGTACTGAGATTTTCACACAAATTGAACAGGGCAGGAACACTAGAATGAAGGAATAAGACAGTTCAGATAAAATGGGAGGAGGGAACCATGGCCAGAATTGCTCACCCTCATCACCGTGCAAACAACAAATGGAATCTTGAGAACCATGAGACCAGCAGAGCTGTCCTGGCCCACGACAACCTTCTAGAAGACTAGAAAAACTCAGTTCACTTAAAAATGAGCAGAACACAAAGACTACAGTAAATTTCCATATGGAGTGATGGTGAGAGAGAAAAAACAGAAAGGACAAGGAACAGAGTAACATCCAACAAAGATAGCAAGTTAGAAAGACATGCCTACAAAACAGATGGAAACCATCACATAAAATTTCAAAAGGAGCTAACATGAGATCAGAAAGGCAATGAAAGAAAAGCATACATTAGAATTATTGAAGTTTATAAATTAGATGATTAGTTAACATTTTTAAAAGAGGTGGCAGATAATCATAAAGAATTAGAAATAAATTCATTTTGGAAATGAAGAATAAATGAGAAAGAACACATGAATGAGTAAACATAATGAATTATTACCTTTTAAATAAATATAATATATGATAACTGCAAAATAATGGAAAAAGAATGTAATAATATAAGAGAAAAATAGAGAAGAACTAACACATGTATAGCAGAGTCCACAAGAAGGAAAACAAAATAATGCATCAGAGAAAAATTTGGAAACTACATACTTCAAAATCTCTCTACTGAAACAAAACCTGAGAATACGTAGAAAAATTGCCTTCCATGCCTGAGGAAATTGTTCTAGCATGGGCTAATATAAAGATTTATTTTAGTACAACTGCAGGACTTTAATTTTATTATTTATTTATTTTTATTAAATCACAAACACATAGATCATGTACACATTAATGGATTTATGGGGTATAATGTGCTGATTTAATGTAGAATTAGGAATGCTTACATCACACTGGTTAATATATACCTCATCTCGTTTACTTAATTATTGTGTTAAGACATTTATACTCTATACTAATAGATCCAACATGTACCTTTGCATTATGCACCATTGGTGTGATCCCACCATTCACCCTCCCTCAATCTGACCTCCCCCCTCCCCTCCCATCCCTTCTCCTTCCTCCTTCATCTTGGACCACAGTTGTGATATATTCTTCATATGAAAGTGTGAGTAGTTGTAAATTGGTTTCATAATAGTACTGAGTACATTGGATATTTTTTTCTTCCATTCTTGAGATACTTTACTAAGTAGGGTATGTTCCAGCTCCATCCATGTAAACATAAAAAAGGCAAAGTCTCTATCCTTTTTTAAGGCTGCATAGTATTCCATAGTATACATACACCACAATTTATTAATCCATTCGTGGGTCAATGGGCACTTGGGTTTCTTCCATGACTTGGCTATTATGAATTGAGCTGCAATGAACAATCTGGTGCAAATATCTTTGTTATAAAGTGATTTTTGGTCTTTTGGATATACACCTAGTAGATGAATTACAGGCTCAAATGGCAGGTCTACTTTTAGATCCCTGAGTATTCTCCATACTTCTTTCCAAAAGGGACATATTAGCTTACACTCCCACCAGCAGCGCGGAAGTGTTCCCTTTTCTCCACATCCATGCCAACATCCGTAGTTTTGGGATTTTGTTATATAAGCCACTCTTATGGGAGTTAGATGATATCTCAAAGTGGTTTTGATTTGCATTTCTCTGATGATTAAAGATGATGAGCATTTTTTTCATGTGTCTGTATGCTGCTCTCTCAAACTCCTGCAAACTCCTACCCAGTCCTGCAAACTCTGACTTATCTTTTAGATGAAGAGAGAAGAGGAAAGAAAGGGGTGTGGAGCGGAGGAGAGGGGAGGGGAGGGGAGGGGAGGGGAGGGGAGGGAAGGGGAGGAGAGAAAATTCTTTGGTCATCTAAGCAAAAAGATCAAGTCACTTCTAAGGGAAAGTATAAGATAGTATCATTAGACTTTTTAGGCAAAGTTTTATGTGGGAAAGGGAATAACACTTGTAAGCTATTCAAGGAGAGGAAATGTGAATCAAGGTTCTAAAATCAAGCTAAAATGACTTTCAAAGTGTACAACTGGTATAAACACGAAAAGCTGTAGGTAATGTTAACACAGGCCCTTCCTGAGGAGCCCATGACTGAGAATGGGATGAGAATGAATCAATGTCAGACCTCCAAAATCACTAGGAAGACGTTGAGAAAAGGACTGCTGATTTCTCAAAGCCTCTCCTGGCTTTAGTTTCCTTTGGGACAATGCTTAAATCAATGACATTCAAGTATTTTCCCAATCTGGTCTCACCTTACCCTCTTGTTTTATTTCTCAGGATCCTCTTTGGCATAAACTATACTCCAGCCTCCCAGGATCATTGTTCCCTAAAGTATATGTTCTGTATCTTTGAATATTGGTATTTTCTTTACCTGGATAGTCTCTCAAACTCCTACAAACTCCCATCCAGTCCCACAAACTCTGACTCATCTTTTAATAGCAGGCAATTATTTATTTAGGTGCCAATTATGGCCAGTGGGGTCTAAAATGATGTCTCCTCAGAATCTTCCACAAAAATGTCCCTGTGTAGAAGAAAGAATTATCACAGGTGACACTGAGAATGGCAGGACAAAAAGAAGAAAATAGCCCATCCTTTTGTGACACTGTGGAGCTCCTGAAGCAACTAATCTTAAAATCAGATCTAGCCACAGCCAAAGACATTGGTAGCCTTTTGTTCATGATACTGTAATGATTTTCTTGTGGGTCCTTTTCCCATCAATTGGCGAGCTGTTCAAGGACAGAGATACCTAGTTTTTGTTCTTCTTTGATTCTCCCTCGGGACATAAGCTTTTGTATGTCACTCAGTGGATGTTCAATAAATGTTTGTTGAATTATAAAAGTGAGAATAAAAATAATGAAGAGACTAGAACTTTAAGATACTTAGCCATAGTCTCAAACACTAAAAAGAAAATAATATTAGCTATGTATGATGGAGT